AGTGACGGAATATAGGGATTTGGTAGGTTTCCATTCTAAAGGCTTTTTAATAAATATGACAACATTTTGTGACGTTTCATCGTTGCTGACGCGTAGTGAAGTGTTTTGAGAGTCATGTGAAGGCAACAGAATTTACGTAACGCATACAGTTTTTTTTATAGTTTTTCATTTCTCGATGCGTCCTTAATGTGTCGGAATGTACTGCGTTTACCCTATTAAATTTTATTTTTTCATTTGGAATACTATTGAACATTAGGTAGATGTATCAATTATTTGGTGATGAATGTTTTCAAGTTTTTTTAATGCTAGCAATATATTGTGGTTACATCTATTACACATTACTCAAGTTTAACTTTTGTTAATGAATTTTTTATGTGTTCAAACTGAAATAGTAATAATAACATTTTATAATAATAACAACTTTTAATTATTTAAATTAGTGTTTCAAAGTTTCTTAACCTTTTTGTCATGGATATAATAACCATTGTCAATGCTGTTCAAAAAGTGTTCATACCTAATGGTTTAGGACCAAGAAGTTTCCTCAGTCACAAAAGGGTTAACCTATGAATAGAAGATATATACAGTGGGGGGAAATAAATATTCGTACACTTGAAAAATCATATTTTAATGTATATATACACAAACTTAAAAGGAAAAGTGATTTAAATTATTCAATGTTTGTTGGGGACCTTTTCTTAATTTGAATCTTCAAATACCGCCACAAATTTTCAATCGGATTTAAGTCCGGCGACTGGCTTGGCCATTCCATAACGTGTACATTTCTATCAGCGAACCATTTCTTTGTGGATCTTGCAGTATGCTCAGGATCGTTATCCTGCTGGAAAATCCAATCACCAGGTGGCTCTAGTTTCTCAACAGAAGTTGTCAAATTATTTACCAGGATGCTCTGGTAGTTTGCAGCATTCATCCTACCATCTATAAGTGATATGTTACCAACATCTTTTGCGGAGAAACACCACCAGATCATGATGTTGCCACCACCAAACTTTACAGTAGGCACAGTGTTCTGTGGAAGGTAGGCTTCACCGTCTTTCCTCCACACATGGTGACGATAATTTCGACCAAAAAGCTCAATTTTTGTTTCGTCCATCCAAAGAACCTTTTCCCAAAAAGCATAGTCTTTGTCCTTATGCTCCTTGACGAATTTCAGCCTGGCATCTCGATGTCGTTTCATTAGGAGTGGGGTCTTTCTTGGGGTGCGTGATTTTAATTCATTTCTGTGAAGTTCATTGCTTATCGTTCGTTTGGTTACTTGAATTCCTGAGGCACTCAGGTGACTTTGCAACTCTCCTCGAGTAATCTGTGGATTTTCTTGGATTTTTCGTCCCAATAATCTAGCAGATTGTGCAGAAATCTTCCTAGGAGCACCTGATCGTCTTTGGTTTTCAACGCTGTCATGGGTCTTGAAGCGTCCAATGAACAAAGCAACTGTTCTTAAAGGAACATTCAAGTGGCTAGCAATCTTCCTATAACTTTCTCCTTCCTTCCAATGCGATAGAATTAGTTGTTTTTGGGAACTTGTTAGTTCTTTACCTTTAGCCATTTTTGAGACCTTCTTGTACTACGGGCAGTTGCAGAATGATCTGGTAGTTGCAAAACACGTTAACTATGGTTACTGATTACATTACTGGAACGTGCTACATGTTTCTAGTACATTCTGGAATGTTCTGGTGTGAAATATTAGTCAAAAGTTGTTTTGTACGAATACTTTTTTCACCCAAAAAGTGAACATGTTGCACCGTTTTTTGTTGCATTGAGATTTAATTTTTTTTTATAGTATTTTTGAATACTATGCGTCTCTATACATAATTTAAATCACTTTTCCTGTTAAGTTTGTGTACTTACATACATTAAAATATGATTTTTTCAAGTATCCGAATATTTATTTCCCCCCACTGTATATACATCGTGATGGCAGCAGTTTTGAACCTCCAAAAATGTTAAGGAAGCTTTTGGTTAGCTTGGCGTTTCATTTGAGGGTATGATATACAGATTTAACATAACTTGGAGCTTCCTTACCATTTTAGGAGCTGTAAGATCCTTGGTAGGGGTATTATTTCCTGTATAATTTATAAAAAGTTTAGGGAACAAGGCTTCAAAGTTAGGAGATAATGGCCAAAATTATCAACACTCCATTCTGCATGAACAAAATATGGAAGTTGAATTTTTTATCATAACTATTTTACAAGAGCTACTAATTATTTATTGATCAGTAATAATGAATAGAGTAATTATTAATTACCCTTCTTCATTACTGAGTTGAGTAAAATTTGTGGGTACAGGATATTATATATAAACTGCCTTTAAAATCAGTTTAAAAGTGTCATCCTACTTGAATTGCTTAGCTTAAATCTGGCAGGGCCCCTGGGATAAAGATGCATTGGATAAATTTTTGATAGGCAAATGGTTTTTATTTCAATTTATTGGTGATTACTGCAAATTTTCAAGGGAGGTGGCAAACCATCATTGTCCTTAGCTTGTTGCTGATGTATAAAATTAATTTTCTTTTGTCAGAATGAAGAATATCTAATTTCATGTTGTCAGGATTTTAAAACGTTTTTCTTAGCTTAGCTTTGCGTTTGTTTGTTTGTTGTTAACATTGACAACAAAAATTAACCCACTTCAGATTGCTCTAGAGATCTGAAATTCGGCATGGAGGCTATTTTCGCCTAACAATTCCAGATACTATCATAAAAACTAGCAATTAGAGACCCAAATTAGCTTAATTGAGTAAAGTATATATATATATAGTATGACGTGCGGGCGCTGACATTATAGACGAGCAGGCGCTGACGCTGCGTAACATGGATACGTACAAGTCAAGTCATGCTTTTTAGTCCGTGCATCAACGGACTAAAAAGGAGAAAATAAAATACTTAAAGAAAAAACTTAAAAAAAACACGTTTTTCTTGTGGACTAAAAAGTAGAAAATAAATTATGGCTGGCCCCAAAAAACGTGGGTCGGGCTTTACGTTCACCATCAAATTTCCAAAATTCGTGTGTTGTGTGCTTTTCGCTTTAATCATTAATCTGCCAGACACACTTTTTTTTTTGGGCGAGCCATAATTTATTTTCTACTTTTTAGTCCACAAGAAAAACGTGGTTTTTTAAAAAAGTTTTTTTAAAGTATTTTATTTGGAGCTTTAAATACATTGTCCAAGCCCAGTTATGTATTTTTGTAACATTACCTCATTTGCAAACCATGTGTATTGTGTAGTTGTTTAAAAATTTGATATCTATAATCTAACCCAATATAAAGAAATATAACATTTTCCTTCAATTTAATGGTAATTGTGCTTGCTGTCTGTTTTGACTAAAGCTTATATCATCATTATGAACAAACAATAAATAAAACAATTTTAAATTTAATTTTCTATCTGGTAAATTTCATATTGAATTGGTATCTCTGAGTTTGAGATTGAAAACTTTTTAATAAAACATTTAAGTCTACTCTGGCTTGTAACTCTAGAATGAAATAAAATTCATTTATCAAAATTTATAAGACTTTAATGAATATTTCTGGTTCCTTATTCTGAAAAAAATAATAACATCTCATTAGAATTTCTGCATCTGTATGTAAATCTAATTTATCATCTGGTGCCATTTCATATTATTCATCAAGATTTGCCCTTATTCTCTATCCATCCAACTTGAAAACTTTGTTCATGTTAATGTAGCAATTTCTTTTGGCTGTTTTTTGTGATGTGCATTTGCTTTTCAGCAAATAATAATAAATTGACAGGCAGTATTTCTATGACTTTGGCATGCATATCTAAGTTCAAAATAATTAATTCATTTTTATTGCAGGAAACAGCCTCTAAAATGGCCAAAAATAAGACCACTAAGAGAGGTGCTGCTGCTGTTGCAACTAAGGCAAAAACTCCTGAGATTGGACAGAAGCGCAAGCACTCAAACCAAGGATCTGGTTCTTCACAACCTGAATTGAAGGTAGAGTTAAAATTTATTTTATCATTGATTCATTGTAAAGATTTTGTTTGGATTACAGGTATGGGCCACAAATGTAACAGTTCAACTAAATTTGCTGCCAATGCAAAGCCTTCTTGTATGAAATGCCACACAATATGCTCGATCACTTGAAGCTTCTCGAATATTAATTCAACTATTAATTTGAAATATAAATCTTGCCCATGTTTCTCACTCATCAAGGCCCTACCTCCATACTTGCATGTCTCTCCACCTGCTTGCCTTAGAGTCAGGGTAAGTGTTGGAGGTACAGTACTGCATTGATGGATTATTGTTGATGAAGTGAGGACAGGTTCAAGCAGTAGCTACAGACTTACAGGTTCCATGGATTTTAGCACATAATTCTATAGGCTAGAAAGCTCTCTAGCGTGCTTGGCCATGGGGAGGAGCTTGAAGAAATAGTGGGCATTTCTTCAAGCCCCCCAATTGCTACCCCATTGGGTGCATTGCTACCCCATTGGGTGTTGATACCCATCAGTGCACACCTCAATTTTGTAATCAACATTTCTGGTTGAGAGGTATTTGCTGCGTCAACTGTTCCACTTGAAGCAGAAATACAAAATTATATGTTGAAATTCTAATTTTAATTTCTGTACAGTGCAAATGTTCAATTTTAACTCAATTAGTAAACAAAACCTATCTTTGGGAATGTTTATGATGTCTGTTAATTTTTTTTAGATCTATAAATCTTCGGATGTTCACGTCAACATGATTATTATGATTATTTTATGTAAATTTTTGTATAAAATTATTTAATGTTTCTAAATTGATCTATTATTTTAACAGAAAGCCAAGTCGGAACCACAGAAGTTTGAGCATGAAGTGTTTGTGTCAAAGCTTAACAAGACCACTACCAAGGAAACCATTGAAGAATATTTCTCCAAGTATGGCAAAGTTTTGAGTGTTACTCTGCCTCTCCACAGGAAGGATAACCCAAAAAATTTGGTCAATAGAACTTTTGCTTTTGTTGCCTTCTCATCTGCCTCTGAGAAAGATGCTGTCCTTGCTGTTGATCACAAGGTGAGAACTTTTCTAGATGTTTAGTCAAGGTAACCCATACATAAATTCCTGCAGTTTATTAAAATGGTATTGTCTTTGTTTACAAATGAATTGTGATTAAAAATTACTAACCCAGTGGTTACAGTTCAGGGGCCGTATTATCAAAACTTTGTAAGTACACAAAATCAACTTATGAGTGGCGTAAGTGCTGACTTGATGACGTAACTCTAGAGGTGGTATTATCAAAACATTTGCGCGGGAAGATACGTAACGTAACTGTACGCCTGCTCGGAGATGTCGTAAGTGGAGTTCCGCACAAGTTTAGAGTGTCTGCTGAAGCGATAGGAAACTATTGATTTACTAGCAAGTAGCAACACCTTGACTTGTGATAGAATTTTGTCAATAATCCGATAGCACGGATTATACACGAATAGAATGATGGCTCTACTTGTGATGGCTCTTCTTTGGTTGCTGCTTAAGGGAGCTTTGGAGACAGGTCCATATAGCCCCAAAGTACCAAGATTGGAGCATAGGTGCGGGTTCGATCCCAGCTCTGTGCGCCAGTTACTGGTCAGAATCGGCAAGGAGGCCGGGCGGTTAAGCACAGCAAAATTGATGCAGCGAGTTGCGCGTTTGAGACCGCATCAAGCTGTGAATATTCTCCGATGTTAAGAATCGGCGATAGGCCTAGGCCTAATGAACGCTGAAACCGCTATTTTTTAATTCATATGAAATATTCAGTTTAGATTAGACTCACATTTTTTTAATAAAAAATTAGCATTTTGTATAGTGTTTTATGTAAAATTTACTAATCATCCCCATTCAATATTCAGTATTTACAGCCATAACTGTCAGAACTCTCTATTTTTTTGTGCTGCGAAAATCGTTTAATTTATTAATTAGCTAAAGGAAATTTATTGGTCATCATTCCATTTATCCTTTGCTAGTAAAAGTTTTATTTACATGACTCTGTTTTTCTGACAGTTGGAGAAATTCAAGTTGGTGGTGAAAGATAGCAAGGTGAGTGAGCAATTTTTTATCATATAGATACATTTTGTCAAAGAGGAACTTATAACTAGAAACATGTTCTTCTTTGTTTGGGTTTCTCTGATAATTTGAGGTTAAATTAACTAATTACTAATTAACTAGTTAAAGAAATCATAATGGATATACTGGTGATGAAATATTTATTTTTCAAAACGAAATGTATATATATTTTAAATCTCTAGGTCGAAGTTGATCCAATTTGATTCTATGCCTTCGTTTTCAGGACCCATCAAAAGGCAATAGCAAGGCTGAGAAAGTTGTTGAAGAAGAAGTGGACTCTGGTGAAGAAGAAGAAGCAGTAGAGGAAGAAGAAGGTGATGTTGATGAGGAAGAAGATGAAGATGAGGAAGATAACGAAGAGGATGATGATGGTGAAGCTGAATCTGGGGAAGAAGCAGAAGATGAGGAAAATGTAGAAGGTGAAGAGGATGATGATGATGATAATGATGACAACGAAGAAGGAGAGGAAGCTGAAGAAGCAGAAGATGATGAATAGGTAAAAATTCTAAGAGAGACTAGTTAGATGAGTACTTTCATTCATTTCATTCCAAAGTGAAGGGTTTGATCCGAACCCATTTCTTTGGTTGGGAAATAGATTGATCTGACCCCGAATATATTTTTCCTAATTAAATTTGAGGATATCATCTCGATTTATTTATTTATTTTTTTTTTTGCTATGAGGAAAATCTATTGAAAGTCAATTGATTTTTTATAGTTGAGGATATTGACTCAACCTGAATTGGGACTTTCTCTTGGTTGTGTGAGCATCCAGGAAGCATGGCATCCCGTTTATACAAGCCACTTGTACCTGAGGTTCCAATCTCTGTTGGTTCAACCAAATTTCAACGTAGCGCCGAAAGTAGGCTTTTAATTAAGGTTTTCCAATAAAGCTGATCAAATAGCTAGATTATCAGTTTCCTTCTAAAGTAATCGATTAATAATCTGGGACCAAATAACTTGAAGCAAGGTAGATTTTACATGACGGTTTGCTCCCTAAGGCTTGGGTTAAATATAATTATTTCTGTTCTTTGTCATGCGCTGTTGGCGCTCAAAGGGTTTTGTCCAACTCTATTGAAAAAAAATCACACAAAGTTAATTCTATAGCTTGTTATGAAGAGAACAAGCTAATGAATGAAACAGAGAATCTATCTCTCGACCACGAGGAGCTCGATACGTTATGTAAGTAGAAAAATTAATTGCATCAATGCAGTTCGAATTTTATCCATCTTCAAAGCTGCGCCAGTTCTCTACTAGTTGGAAGAAAGTGGAAGAGATGTCAATTAAACTTTGGTGGATACCGAGAGTGAAAGAAAGGGTAATCTGAAATGCATTGCCGGTAGATAATTCATGTGACCACATAAGAGCAAAATAAAGAAGCTGCCAACTTGGCGCAAGGCCACTGCGTGACATGGGCTCTGTGCTCGTGACGTACAACTCATTTTGCGTCGCGTGACGACGCATCACGGTGCTCGGAAACGTTTCTCGTGAGCAAGTGTTGTAGTTTAAAGCGATAATTTTCAATATAAACTGGAAAGAGCTTACTTTTCATCGTGCAAACTTTTGGCACAGGGATAATACTCGCCGAATTTCGCGGTAAGGAGAGTTTGGCTTCAATATTCCTAAACAATTCTCATCATGTATTTAATTGCAGAATTTCATATAACACTAATTATTTATTGTTCAATGTCAAAGTGCTCTTGGTTCCAATCACTGCTTCTTTGCACATGCCAAACGCCACTGTAAGTTTAACCTTTGGTAACTAGAACACTTCTTAAGAAAACCAGGTGAAAACAAAACTCAAAAGCACACTAGATGCGTTGACAATGCAATAGGGATGTCAACCTGTGCTATAGGGATCGTTAAGCTACTATTCATCGGCAACAGCCCAAACTTGGTCTATTCTTCTGCTCAGACACTACTATGCTTTACAGTGATATGCTATACAGATCGATGCATCGGTCGGTTGCGTGGTATCAACGTTTGGAGCGCGTCCGGTTGAATGAAACTGTGCCGCTACCAACCCGCCTCGCGTGGTGCCGACTAGACATGAGCTGTCAGCCCAACCGGTCTAAGCAGAGAGCAGCAAACCACTATTTTCTTCTCAGTACGTGAGCAATTTACTCTCTTATTTTTACTTATACGAAGCACTTGAAAATTTTCGCTGTAGCCTCCCGACCGAGTTAGTTATCTGCTGGTACTGAACACACACTTCTTCTTCCTGCAAGAAATTGGCCATTGAAATTATGGGTTAGGAAAGATTAATTTGTGCGAGAACTTTGTTGGCCACAGCAGTCTAGCCTTTGGAGGTTGGTTATGACACTCCATTAAAACACAGCTCTCTGTCTGGACTAACCACGAAGCTGGTGAATGAGGACATTTTAAACCCATGAGCGATCGAAAGAACCTGAGATCGTATGTATGGCATAGCGTTTGTTCGACGCCTCGAAACGTTATTTATTTGCGCGTTATATATCATTGCTATGGAGATCATAACGGCGCAGAAGTTCAGATGGCTATCCAAATGAACTTTAACTATTTAATTTTAAGAAGAAATATTTCCAACGCGTAAACTGATAACGCAGTAATATATCCGTTTTCACAGAACTTAATGGAAAATGTTTTGTGTAAAATTATTGGTTACTAATCGCGGTAAAAATTGCATTTCTATTATTCCAATTGTTAAATACCTTGTCGTGCATTAATTTGTGTGCGTTCTAGTTTCAGAAATATTAATCAAATAACGTTTATGGGCGTAGTTTAATAATCATCTATCAAAAGGGATGTGCTTTTAAGGGGATACTAAACTTAAATGAAATGTTTTATAGTTTTGGCAATGGTTTTAGTTGACTTTTGAGTTGACAAGTCATAAATTGTTATGGATTATAAAAAAAAAATAGAGAATATAAGTAGCCAATCCAATAAGAATGTAGACCAGTTTCAAAGTCTGTCCTGTATCAATAACCTTCGTTAATTCCACAGGCATAACCATCTTCTTGATTCTGTTCACGCCCCTGGGGATGTCCCTAAAAAAGCTCAAGCAGCGTCATGGTGTTGGCTCGAACGCCATCAGTAGTCGAAATCCTTCAGCAGTTCGAGTTAACGGTGACGATGCCGAAGAAAACGAAGTAACTCCCAAAGAAACTCACAAAATTCCGGCGGTAACTACGATAAATGAAGAGAATAATATCACTGATTCTCTAGCCGTAACATTAGAGCTTATGCCTTGTATTAACTTGAATCCGGATCCGCAGATAAATATGCAACCGGATTTTGAAGTAGCCGACAGTAATACAGCTATATTCCAGCGATCGAAATCTGAACTGGGTACACTCACCGACAAGACGGACTCAAAGTTATCAAACGGAGTTTCAGAATCGTGTTTCAATAAAGAAAATTCTGTGAAGGCAATTATGTCCTTCATTGAAAAACTCAGTCCAGTGGAATCATCATACGACGTAGACGTAAATGATAATGAGCCCAGGGAAAAAGACTCGTCATCAAAACTTGGATACGTAACTAACGTGAATATCGACGGTCGTGAACAATTAATGAAAGAGTGCATCGAAAACGTCGAAAGTTCAGGATGCTTTCAAATGAATGACAGAGATGGCAAAATAAAGGGAAAGGGGATATCTTCAAGCAAAGGCTATTATAAGGCCCTGTCGCTGACGGCTGCTGGATGTGTTGTGGGCTTGCTGCTGCGACTGTACCGGCATGGATCATTTGAAGGTAAGTGACTTGATTACATCTAATCACTATCTTTGTCTTCATATTTCAAAGGTTCGTGCAAGAAGCTCCTGGATGGTGTCATCCAAAGGATAAAAATAATAGCGAAATATATTATCAAACACAGCCTTTTTATTTTGCGCTTGGTTTTAAGACAATACTGCGAGACTGAGAAAAATGTATAATCGAAAAATCTTGAGAGTGTCTATAGAAACGTTATGCCTTTTTTGACCGTAGTTTTTGTCCGTCATTGCGTTTCAAGCAAACCTTTAATAACGTATTGTTTTGAAATCAGGAAAAATTTGATTTGTTAATTGCGAAGAATGCTTGTCCTGTAACAATTTTGAATGAGAATAAATTTCAATAAGTTTTCTTTTTGGAGAAATGGAAGTATAAATGCATTCTCATCATTTCATGTATTCATGTCAATGACCAACATCACAATGTTCATGTTAATAAACAACATGCCAGTATTCAGGTTGATGAACAACATGGCAATGTTCATGTTGATGAACAACATGACAATGTTCGCGTTAATGAACAGCATAACAATGTTCATGTTGATGAACAACATGACAATGTTCATGTTGATGAACAGCTATACAATGTTCACGTTAATGAACAGCATAACAATGTTCGTGTTGATGAACAACATGACAATGTTCATGTTAACGAGCAACATTACAGTCCATGCATGATTGCTTTGTTCATATGAAATTGAATGATCAAAATTTTTCTCAAAGCAGTCTTGTTCGGAGAGTTTTGCTATGTTGTTTTAACATCGAAAGACTCTGACTATGAACAATTTCAGGGAAATGTTTTCTCAATGACAATACGATATCATCTTACTGATTTTGAATCTGGGGATAATATAGCGATAGCTTTACCCCAACAGTTGTAATCTAATATTATTCTCTTCCATGGTGAATGTAAAGCCTTTAGAAATTATCATGAATTATGATTATTTATTATGTTTGATGCTCTGTGAAATATCAGACATAAATTCCTGGTAACAATTGTAACAATTTTCCATTATTAGTTAGTTGACACTTAACCGCTCCCTTTATTTTACCATGGTTATAGGCTCCCATTATTTTACCATTTTTATTTACCATCGTTATAAACCGCTCAGAATATTTTTTCCGTTATCCGTCCAGCTGACACTAGGCCGCTTACAATATTTTAACACTAAACGTCCCCTGACGTCCCGCTGACACTTGACCCACTTTACAGCCTCATGGAACGTTCCGCTGACAATTGACCCACTTTACAGCCTCATGGAACGTTCCGCTGACACTTGACCCACTTTACAGCCGCATGGAACGTCCCGCTGACACTTGACCCACTTTACAGCCACATGGAACGTTCCCACTGACACTTGACTCACTTTACAGCCGTTTGGAACGTTCCGCTGACACTTGACCCACTTTACAGCTGCATGCAACGTTCCCGCTGACACTTGACCCACTTTACAGCCGCATGGAGCGTTCCCACTGACACTTGACTCACTTTACAGCCGTTTGGAACGTTCCGCTGACACTTGACTTACTTTACAGCTGCATGCAACGTTCCCGCTGACACTTGACCCACTTTACAGCCGCATGGAACGTTCCGCTGACGCTTGACTCACTTTTCAGCCTCATGCTTGTCAGCTGCCAAGGAGCAGGCGCGGCGCCTGTTGTTCCGCCTTGACGACTTCTTGGCAACGCAAGGGAACCTTACCACCCTCGCCAAGCAGGCGAGTTTGGTGTAGTGGTTCATTATTATTATTATTTATTATCGTTATTATCATTATCATCATTACTATCATTATTATGATTATGACGGTAAAATATTTTATAATTAATTATGAGGTCAAATAAAACAGCTGAATTAAATTATTTATGTTATAAACCTTAAATAAAACCCTGCTTGTCCAGCTTGTTATACGGAATGCAGTAAGAAGTTAATTACTCATAGTATATAAAACGGTTTTCAAGTAACTAATTCACGCTTGAAATAAATCTCCGTTCAGAGAAATAAAGGCGTAAATACTACAAAATGACATTTGTAATGACTGTTTGTTTTCGCGGACAGTTCATAACAATGACGTTTGTCATGACTGCTTGTTATCGCTGATGGTTCATAATAATGACGTGTGTCATGACTGCTTGTTATCGCAGATGGTTCATAATAATGACGTGTGTCATGACTGCTTGTTATCGCAGATGGTTCATAATAATGACGTTGTTATGACGGCTTGTTATCGCAGATGGTTCATAATAATGACGTTGTTATGACGGCTTGTTATCGCAGATGGTTCATAATAATGACGTTTGTCATGACTGCTTGTTATCGCAGATGGTTCATAATAATGACGTTTGTCATGACTGCTTGTTATCGCAGATGGTTCATAATAATGACGTTTGCCATGACTGCTTGTTATCGCAGATGGTTCATAATAATGACGTTTGCCATGACTGCTTGTTATCGCAGATGGTTTATAATAATGACGTTTGGCATGACTGCTTGTTATCGCAGATGGTCTTCTTATCGATGTGCGATAAGTGCTTGTTGCCTGGACAGAATTTAGCATCACTCTACACGCTGATGTTCTGTAGCATCGTTACTTACTGCATCGACTATGCTGAGGTAAGTCACACTTGTGACGCTACTGCTACAGCATTTACATAGCTGCTCTTGTAGCATCTCCCTTGCTTCTTTTGAAGTGTCCCTCTTTATTGAAGCATTTAAACTACAAGGTTCTAGTAAAATATTCTAGCCTATTCGTTATCCAAATTAGTGTTATTGAAGAATAATAATTATCAGGAATACAATTCCAGTGAGGACAGATGTCCATTCATTGTCCTAACGGTTTGAGCTTCCTGGTGTTGTTTGAATGATTGATTTCATTATAAAGTTTTTATTATTACACTCAGCATTGTTGAATTTTGATACATTTTTATAATAATTATGCTGCATTTAAATCGACTATGTCTCATTCCATACAATGTAATTATTTGCTATTGTCAAAAAATGGCTATATCAGCCTAGCCTTTTTAAATTGTGCAAGAATTTAAAATTGTCCCACAATCTCCATTGCACTAAACGCATTACCTCCATCTAATCAACTGAGTTAGAAATGGAGTTAGGAATGCCAACCCGTTGTCGTTGGCCAACCAATTTTAATTATACTCATGATAAGAAAGACATTTGTCCTTTACCCATGAGTTCCGTACGTGACCAGGGACTGCTGACGCGGCAACAATGGTCATTGTCTGTCCGCATTGGCGGACCAACGAGCTCTGTCCGCCATCTAGCGCTGTCCACCACCAACATCGTCCTAGAGTGGACAAAAGCGGTCACTTTCATGACCACTTTTGTCTTCCTACTTCTCATGCTAGGCCTAGAGAAAGGCCTAAATAACTATTCCCCAAACGCTGCCTATATTTTCTTCTCCTCCATGTACTGGATAACCACGGAGAAAATCTGTCGGAAATATGTGCTCCATTTTATGGTGGAGAAGAAATTCAGATTTTGGGACTCCTTGGAGGAGCTCTACGTGCCACTGCTGCTCCAGCTGCTCCAACTCTGCTCCATGGGGCTGTTCATTGTACCTTGCCTCTACCTTGGTTACTGGAGACTGAGTATCGCTGGTCGGTATCTTGGGTATCACTGGTCGGTATCTTGGGTCTCACGGGTCGGTATCTTGGGTATCATTGGTCGGTATCTTGGGTATCATGGGTCGGTATCTTGGGTATCACGGGTTGGTATCTTGGGTATCACGGGTCGGTATCTTGGGTATCGCTGGTCGGTATCTTGGGTATCACGGGTTGGTATCTTGGGTATCACTGGTCGGTATCTTGGGTATCACGGGTCGGTATCTTGGTATCACGGGTCGGTATCTTAGGTACCACTGGCTGGTTGTTGTTATAACCCGCTTGTCTTGTCGCCACCGCGTAAATTAAATTCAAAAAGAATAGTTTTTCTTTGGCATATAAATACCATAATTTGTGCATAATTTTTCATGCGCACCACAGCTTGGTATCGACGAATTTTCTTGTTATAGACTAAAAAATTAATATTCAGTAGTGCATTCCTTGCGATGTAAAATGACTTTTCTGTACATATTTCAAAATGTGATTATCTGAATATCAATATCTGAATGAATTTGCTATAACCCTCATACATATCAACTAGGCTAAATAATTATACAAATAGCTGCAACGTGCCCCAAAAAATACACGAAGAATAAATATATAAGTATATAAAACCTGATAATTTAAATAAATATGAATGCTCTAGTCTTTAGTGGCACGAGCTTAAACACACTAATTCAGCCATCCAATACTAATGAATATATAATATTCATAAAACATTTAATATATACTGTAATTTCAGGTCTTGTATTCGCTCGAGCTGACTTCATGAAGTGCCGGTCACTTCAGCTGAAACATTCAGCGCATTTATCTGAACTTTCCGCGTTCCGCCGAGCTGAAGAAACTGAGCTGAGAGAACACAACGACCGCTGCAGCGTCTGCCTGAGCTGCATGACCAGCGCCCGGGTGACGTCATGTCGTCACTTCTACCACGCAGAGTGCCTCCTGCGCATCGTCAGGGCGTCGCAGGGGCGTGGCCGGTGCCCTTTGTGCCAGGCGCCGCTTATTTGAGTTGTTTATTATAATTATTGGTATTTTTATTGGTATAATTTATTATGATTATGACAGTAAAATATTTTATAATTATAATACCATGCGGAGTGCCTCCTGCGCATCGTCAGGGCATCGCAGGGGCGTGGCCGGTGCCCTTTGTGTCAAGCGCCGCTCATTTAAGTAGTTTATATAATNGAATGAGTTGTTATGAATGAGTTGTTATGAATGAGTTGTTATGAATGAGTTGTTACGAATGAGTTGTTATGAATGAGGTGTTATGAATGAGTTGTCACGAATGAGTTGTTACGAATGAGTTGTTACGAATGAGTTGTTACGAATGAGTTGTCACGAATGAGTTGTTATGAATGAGTTGTTATGAATGAGTTGTTATGAATGAGTTGTTACGAATGAGTTGTTACTCACGTTAATTTTTTCTATGAACTCAACGAATTCGTAAAATTATGATCGCAAAACATGTCATCTAGAAAAAGTTTGTTGACAAAGTTAATGAATTCAGAGTATTCAACTCAGCGTTAGGGAAGTTGATTTTAATCGCTCTCCAAAATGTGTATTACGTTTTGCAATACCCAAGTTGTTACCGCGGTAACAATACTTTATTAATCACACTCAGAGTAATCTTTCAACTTGTGCTTTGTACAGTAACTTGTGCAGTTTCCAAGAAAAATATACTGAGAAGAATCATTAACTAATAAAAACAGTGAGTTTATAAAATATAGAACATATTAACATTAATATGTTCGATGAACATATTAATAAATTAACATGAATATAATCAATATATATCGTTTCTCTATCCATTACAAATGTATTCTGCTTTAAGTCCATCCTCTAATTGCCATTCAGTGTTAATATAAGCCAGCCAGGATGTCATATTTCTAATATCCATAGTCGTTCTCCACAGGAAAAACTTTAGCCTGTGGATTAAAGCTGATCCTTAGCAGGCCAGCAGGTAACAGAAATGGCAGGTGAAATTCTTTTTAATTATAGCAGTGAAATTGTCTAGCAGGATTTCAATATATTGGTTTATTAACAATAAAAACAGCGAATAGTTGTGAGCATTGCTCAATTTATTTAGTGACTTGCATCATTGTGCGGTCGCTTCCTCACTCATGCTTCAAACCGTGATTTTAATCCTTAAATATAATAAGTATTATTTTCCCCACTAGTGTAGGGTAAGTTTTATTGGAAACGAAGTAAATCATAGCAAAGAATACATACGCATATTTTTAACCCCACTAGGGGAGGGTAACTTTTACTGGAAACGAAGCAATTCATATAAAAGAATATATACGCAAATTTTTTACCCCATTAGTGTAGGGTAACTTTTACTGGAAACGAAGCAATTCATATAAAAGATTATAAACGCAAATTTTTTACCCATTAGTGTAGGGTAACTTTTTCTGGAAACGAAGTAAATCATATCACAGAATACATACGCAAATTTTGTACCCCGCTTATGTAGGGTAACTTTTACTGGAAACGAAGCAAATCATATAAGAGTATACACGCAATTTTTTTACCCCATTAGTGCAGGGTAACTTTTACTGGAAACAAAGCAAATCATATAAAAGAATACATACGCAAACTTTTTACCCCACTAGTGTAGGTAACTTTTACTGGAAACAAAGTAAATCATGTAAAAGAATATGTACGCAATTTAGGAAATAAACTAAATTTTCACATTAATGTGAATAAATTTTTTTTATTGAACGGTCCTGAACATCAATTAATTTATATTTAGTTCTTGAATGAAAAATAATATTAATAATGTAATTTTATGCTAATATCAGCTGGTTCATTCATGAAACAAAATACTTTATTACGGAGCCCTTATTTCAATAACGATATTCTGCACAGACCACTTAAATTAACTTTTCAAGAAAACGAAACTTGTATATTGTATGTATAGGTACTAGTATTTGAGAAAACAAATATCGACTGTGAAATACCAAACAAGTTTTAATATGTTGGATATTATAACGGAATGACTAATGGGCTCACTCATCACCGGCCGAAGAAAATAATTTTTAACGCAAAAGTTTATAAAGCTTTAATTGATTAATTTAATTGACCCCTCCTAAAATAATTGTTTAACGCAAAAGTTTATAAAGCGTTAATTGATTTTGAGACTGTGCACATATTTCTCCTCAAAAAGGCTTCTACTTCCGTACTCCGTGTAATTTTATATGGTACTTAAAATCACCAAATTCAACGTCTGCCACATTCGATCAAATTTTCATTTCATTTAAAAATCTTATGCATGGGTTATAATTCATCAAAAAAATAATCGTTACTCATGGTGAATAACGTGTTAATTTACATGACAAAAAAAAAATTATCTAGACTACTTTCAAAAGTTGACCAACTGTGTTAAATTTTTAATTATTTTCAAGAGGATCCCATCAAATGATGTTTTATTTAGTCGTATAGCGGAATTTGAATACCTATTATAAGTGGTAATTTCAGTGTAAGTGATTGTTCAATAATCGGATCAAGAATTAGAGGGAACGTGAATAAAAAGATTAATATAATAACGAAGATTCATACAATTTGATAAACATGAGGTGCAAGTCTTCTCCCAATACGTCCGGTGTCGAACACATTTTGTTATATATATACGTTTGTTCATGTAAAACCACTACAAAAATTCTATTTTACGGTAAATTAGTGGTCCCAGAACCTATTTTCTAAGTAACCGATACATTGCAACCAAGCAATAGATATTCTGAAAGAAACATCCTAAGCAGCAAGAGAATTCGGCAATCAGACTGTTGGATGCCAGCCTTAGTATTGAAAATGAATTCTATTTCCAGGAATATATTGCAACTAACAAAAAATCTAAATTATGAAATGTTCCAATAATAAACTAGCAATCTGAATAATTCAATTATTCTGGAACTAATGCTTGATGCTTTGAAAGCGCTATAGCTTGAACAATTTAAAGGACCAGCAACATAATAAATAACGGCATTAAATTTTGTTCTTGAACAACATTAATGTTTTGAAAGAGCTATAGCTTGAATAATTTCAAAGACAAGAAACATAATAAATAACGGCCTTAAATTTTGTTCTTGAACAACACGTAAAGTCGCCAGCACTCAGATGCCATTATCGTGGCTGATGAGCTTGGCGCTCTCAATGGGTCCATCATCGTTCTGCAATGGAGAGAAATATGGGTAAATTATCAATATAATAGAAGCTTGTTACTTATATAGTGGAACAATCATAATAATAGTAACTGGTTATTAATTGTTTATTTGGAACGACTGAATAACACCTGTGATTGTTATTTGCATGGAGCAATGCAATATGCTGAGTTAAATTACGTATGATGGAAAGAGAAATGAAAAATATTGCTTTGTAATATCGTATAATAGAGAGAGGAATGACACATATTACCTTGTGGTATCATATAGTAAAAAAGAGGAATTAAAGTTATTACCTTGTGAAATTGCATAATATAAATAGGAATGAAACATATTGCCTTGTAGTATCATATAATAAGGAAAGGAATGAAAGTTATTGCCTTGTAAAATCGAATGATGGGAAGAGGAATATACTATTAAATATTGAAATATTTAATAGAAATATTGACTGGTTGAATCGTATTTTAGGCAGAGTATGCCATTGCACAGTTCAGATCTGTACGATTGCGAAAGGGTAGGTCCAGGTCAAATATTACTATAGATGATATGACTTTTCACCTTCATTTTCATATTTCTACATATTACACAAATGAGAATATTTCTTTGCGATTGCGTGCCACTGAACATGTGTCAAAATTAACACTGCAGCAACTAAACATGTGTTAAAACACAGCAGAAACTAAACATGTGTGAAAACAAACACAGAGCAACTAAACATGTGTTAACACTTAGACCGCAGCCACTATGGATTGCATTTGTATGTATATTGTATAATAACTATTCGCTGTGTTAGTATGTACATATTATTTTAACGTTCGACGTCAATAGAAAGGTGGTAAACATACAATCAACGAAATGTTTTATGCAGCATCAGGAATGGCGCTGTTTCTGACGTAAAAATGCATTTAAATCTGAAATAAAGTTTATTATAATGCAGGACTTTATCCCTGTAAATTTACATCTACCAGTGAAGTTTGACATACAAATTATTACTGGGAATGTCGTTACTCATTCATGTCTGTAAAGGAAGGACGAATTAGATATGAATCTTTGTATCCTGAAATATCTGCTGTTACCTTAAGCAGATGTAATGTAAACATTGAAACTTCACTGATGTATCTAAAAAAGAATTTTTTTTTGTTCAGTTTCGTTTTTTTCCGTACGTCACTCATTATACACTTCATTTTTAAAGCATTGTTCCAACTCTCTTTTCAAATTCACATTTTATTAAGGACATTCGCATTACGCTTAATGCTCTTGCGAGTAAGTCTATGTTGCCATTATAAATAACTACGGGACAGTTTCTGTAGTTTTGCACATCTCTGAAATTTGATTTTCTATGTTAAATTGTCACCACGAAATTTTTCGGCATTTTAACTACCACGAAAAAATATTTCTTTGCACGGGCATTAAAAACAATATTTTCTCAGGCGACGATTTCTCCGAAAAATTTTCTGAACACTTATTATTTTCTAGGTAATAAGTGCAATCTAGGCTACTTCTTGCATCTCTTTGAGTCGTTCTTGCTTGAGCATTTCGTATTCTTCTTCATATTGCTTGCGTAAATCGTATTGTCTACGTTGATATTGCGCTGACTGTTGCGGTGTGACGTCAGACGAAGCGGCGGAGGAGAGGGTGCATTGTGAATGAACAGAATCGTTATCTTCAATACGTTGATAAGGTTGATAAGGTTCATTTATGTGATGTCGGAATCTCATGGAAGAGAGAGGAGGAAGTTGAACTGCTGTGTCGCTGCTGGGCCGATGCAGGGCTTTCTCTTCAGCCTGTATCAGCTGAAGGATGAACGGTGACCGAAGTCCATTTTTTGTTAATGTAAATAAAATATAAGTAGCAAACTTTGAATGGTTATTATCCCTATATATGCCTGGAAATAATTTCTTTGTGCAATAATCAATAAAAAATCATACTGGTATGGATAGAAATGGTGAAACTACAAAAATTGGCTATTCCAACTTTTTAAAAATTGAAATTCTATAAGAAAAATAATAGCAAACTTGAAAAATTCGCTATTTGTTGGGTGCTTCAACTGACGCACCTTTAATCGGTGAGAAAGTATATTAGTCAATATAAATTTTGAAAATTAAGATAAACTACAATCTAAATGGGCAGAGAATTTAGATTGTCAGAGTTGAAAAATTATTGAAATTTGAAAAAATTAAACAACAGGAGTGCTAACAATGAACAAGCAGCGTGGACATCGATCAGCGGCATCACTTCTACTCGTAAACTTGGAATAATTTTAGCAATATTATGGCTTAAGTTTTTAGGTATTTTATGCAATGTTATAGCATCAGATACCTCATTTTCAACTATCTAACAAAATCTAGTTGTCAATGAATGACAATGCATATATCGTGTCACATGATTAACTGTTTTACCGAAAATATACGTACGAAATACATATCACTACACTTACTACCAAAATTGCCATCATCGCGACCATCACTATCATTCATCACTAAAACATCATCATCATCATCGTCACCATCATCGTCACCATCACCATCATTCACCACCATTCACCTGATCGACTTCTTTGCTCTCGGCGACCCGCGCTCTCGCCTGCTCGCTTCTGGCGCTCGTATTCTTGGCGCTCTTGACGCGCTGGCTCAGGATCTGCAGGCGAAATAACTTCATATAGTATAGTATAGTATAGTATAGTATCTTCGGCATTAAATAAATAGGCCTGGATAGGCCTGTCGCCGATTCTTGTACTTTTCTTGACTAGACTGGCCTTACGGACGGTAGATTTAAAATCGCTCCTAGATATCAGTTGTTCCGTAGGGTACGAGGCATTTTAAGACTGAACATATGCT